AAATAGAAAATATTCAAGTCTTGAAACTTTCTACCTGAAGGCAACGGACATGTATCTTATTCACTTAAATCTGAAAAGACAGGATGGGGTGTTACAAGAAATACATATTTTACACTTTTGACAGATGTGTCTCCTCCCTAAGATTTATTATCTGCAGAATATGAAGTAGCATTTCTTAGAGGAGGTATTTTTTTACTGTTTTCCTTTAGATACTGTTTAGACTCCTTCATGTATAAAGGTAATAAAAATTAGATAATTTGAATGAATGATTTCTGTTTATAATATTTGTATATAATACACACGGTGATATTAACAACTTTAAGGGCTTACAGGGTAGTGAGATTTCTTCCCATAAGGGGTTAAAATCCTAGCAAACCATAACCTTATATACTATGAATAAATTCATATGAACTGTCTCGTTCATCTAGGGGCTAGTACATACGGAGATTCTCTGTTCAATGTCGGGTTGGTCAAAATAGTTACTTATTACTTAGTTTTATGCCTTGAAATACTAGTTAATAACCGGGTGTTGGAAAGCTGGACCTCTGTGCCTCGAAGAGCGCGATAAGTTGTTGGTACTGAATCTGATCTCTCCCTATTCGTATCAAAGCATCGTCCCACCGGGATATCTCTCATATCTCTTATACCTTACGAAAGTGCACTTGTGTTTGCACACACATTTATGCACTATAATATTTTCTGTGCAATTGGTTAATCTCATTGTCAGTGATATGATAGTCGGTCAGGAGGGTATTATAATTTTATTAATTAAATAACTTCCATAAGACGGAGACGATTGTAGAAGTTTAAAAGTAAAATTATTTTACGCCATTTTCATAGATACGAACCTAAGTTTTTTAATATTTTTTATTGGTGGAGTTACGGAACAGATATTACTATGTTATGTACCTATAATTAATAAAACATATTTAATTATCTTGGACAATTTATTCAACGAGAAATTACAGACTTGAAAAAGAACAAGAAGCATAATTCTTAATGTTGTGTCACCGATGTCACTGATATTAAGTTACCCGAATTTTGTTCAAACCTACAAAACATAAAGCGTAAAAAACTTATACAGGATTAAAGCCCTTTTAACTGAATGAAATAAAGCCTATATTACTATGACAACATTTTCTTCATTTAGCACTACCGTACTTTCCAACTTTATTACTGGCTGCGATAAAGGACTAAAGTGAAGTAGCGAAAGAAATAGTATAGACTCCGTGAAATTTTATTAAAATTGTTTGATTGGATTTTTTGGGACACGCGAAGTAGAACTTCAATAAGTAAAATAATAAAGTTTAGTAAATTATGTAATTATTTGGCATACCAAATAAGTATATAAATAACAACGTAAGGGTAATTTACCCCGAAATTCTATTTACCTAAATGTATATGGAAAACCTTAAAGTTCATCATATAATCTAATTTCCGGTATAGTCACATCACAACACTAAAACTTTTGTTCATCATTACAATATTAATTAATATAAAGTATATTAATAATTCTAGAATCATTTAATACTTATAGGATTTTCAGTAATGTTTCATTGGTTAATAATAACCAAGTGTATACAGCGCGCATTTACTAGGTTTTATTTGGTAGAAATGTAAGAAACCTAAAAATCGTAAATACCTGAATAAAATCTAAGTATGTTTTACTTAACTTTGCATAACGTTGTTTACAAGTACGGAGTACCTTAAGTTCCAACTCAATTTCAAGTGCCAGTTAAACACAAATATTTATTTTCCATTGCAGTTATTCATTTAATAACAAATAAGTAGTTTAAAAAAAATTAAAACATTAAAAAAAGATTTGTTTTAAATAGCAAGGCTAACATACATATCGCTCCTTAAATACAAAAGCACCACAAGTCGAAATAAGCAAATTATACAGGAGCGGCATTTGAAAAAATAATTTGGTTTATTTTATGATTTTTGTATAAACTATGTGTATTACGTAGATTTTTTTGGTATCAAAAGATGCATAATTAAATAGCCTGTTTTTCAATAAAGCAATCTTAACTATACCTCGAATGGACTCTCGAAAAAATGCAAATAAGTTAGTTTTGTATATAGACTTTGACTTCGAGAACATTATAATTTTAAAAATTAAACCACCATAAATAGAAAAAAATAGAGTTTTATTGTCAGTTTTCAACCTCACAAAACGTCAATTTAAGGAAAAAATTTCACATACTAACTTACTACATAGTAAACTTGCTAAGGGAAAAAAAATAGTTAAATCTTATCATGAGATCATCAATTAAGTCTAAAATTACTGTTACCTATATTAGTAGATAAGAGTAATAAATTTAAGTTAAAAACAAAACAAACCTTCTAAGCTATAAAAAAACGAATATGCATAAAACACTTTCATAAATTTAACAAAACAAACATAAGAATTATTGTAAAAATAAATACACTACCTAGGTATTTAGCTGGCTCCCTAAAAGTTAACAGCTCTCAGATACAACAATATAGGTACTTATAATTATTCTCACATTGAGCTAACGTTCACTGAAACATTTTAAAAAAGGCAACAACATTAACAAGCGATTAAATAAACAATAACTAAAAAATAACTATACTTTAATAATTAGTTTTTTTAAGCTATAATCACGATTAAATCAGACTTTTTAAATAGAGTAATACTTACTATTTTGTATTGTTTTACCATACCTAAAACGAAACTAGAGTAATTTCTACGTTACAGGACTTAACCTATGTTTTGAAATGTGCCGGGTAGACACGCCCTACGTAAACACAATAAACATTTGAGTATCTTCTCTGAAAAGCTGTATTAGCTTACTTATCACAGGTGTGTGGAATGCAGGTACCTAATATTAAGCTGTCTAAACACTCCTAAAAATTTTATCAATTAAACGAAATTAGCTATCTATAATGACTCGTATCTAAATAGTGTCTCGCAGTTAAATAAAACCTTATTTCGCCACTGAGTTACGGTAAGATAATTACTCCTTTGCTACTATTTGAATGAAATATTAAAGCTAAGTTAATCAACTGTGTCCATAACATTACGTTTGAGAAACAGAGGTAACTTTATCTTTAAAATAGTATTAGCAGTCATATTCTTATAAAATAAGGTGCTTAAGGAGTAAGACACCTTCATAATTAATTATTTCCATGATCTACACTAATCACAACCGTATAAAGCACATAAACGTGGTGTAAATAGTGTTCTTACAAAAATGTTTTTATAAAACGTTTACTTAAAACTACATGGAGCGTAATGCTCGTACAGGTATAAAAAAACTTAAAGTAAAACAGTAAAAATCAGTTCCCAACAGTAACTTATGCACTAATTTAGAGATTAGCATAAAAAGATTCATAAAATCTCGGCACAATGTTTTTTTGGATTAGCTTTAAAATGCCTTGCTTCTTTGCTTCAGGAACTGTAAGCTTTTCAGTGTAAAGTTGGTTTAGGGTCAAATTATTATCAGGCACTGCCTTCGACTTAGTGCGGCGTTTTCTCAACGTAGATACCGACCTGAACTCTTCCTCTTCGTACGATGTTTTAAAGAAAAATATGCCATTGCTTACTTTATCCACTTTCAGAATCTTTATATCAGTCCATTTGAATTTATTGCCATCCTCATCTATATTGTAGTTTCCTGTACACAGAGGTTTGAGGTCAAAAAAATTCTCATGTGTCAATTCTTCAACAGTATAAGGCTTTCCAGTTTTCTTTGCTGTTTTAATCAGAGTGATATACTGGTCTGGAACGTAAATTGGAGATGATTTCAATGCTCTCGTAATGTTACGTTGGATGACAGAATGAACACAGTCTCCTTCGTTTTGGGTGTGCCCTTTTATTAGAAACTTATGAGTAATACTCTTGATGTTCAGCAATTCTTGAGTCACATATTGGTACATTGCCAGCATGAATTTGTTCTTTTGTTGGCCACAGCAATTATCGCTATAGAAAGTGACATCACAAGGTTCCGTGGCATTATCATTCAATTTTCTTAGATACATTAGAACACAGGAGCCAATTTCATTAATACCTCGGGCGCCTTCTCCCTCATGCCATACAAAACAAGTTGTGTCCTTTGTACCGAGCTCGGTTATTGTGAAATTAAATAGATTTAATTTAGACGTATAATAGAAACTAGACACGTCAGCACCCCGTGGACAAGGCATCACCGCTTGGAGGTCGTACACAGCCACTACGCAGGTATTACTCACAAGCTCTTTATCTCTATCTTTTTCAGCTCTAGCGAGAGTCTTTTGCTTCAAGTGCTCGTCGTATGTCTCTTGTAGTAACGATTTATCTTCAGCGTTTTTGTAAGCCATGCAATCATCGCATTGATCCTTCTTAGGCTGCCAGAAAGATAAGTTAAAATCATGCATAAATATGTTGTAGTATACTTGATATGAAACGTGTGGTGCACCCTCAGATTCGCATTTGTCTACGTAATGTCGATGTAGTGCCGCAACTGTAAACCCGCCCTCAATATACTCCCGAGTCGATCGCGCCCTACAGTAATGACTTTCTATGCGGGGTATTGAATTAATGTGTGCTTTGACACCATCGGTCAGCTCTGAGTCTAGTGTCTTATGGTTTTTATGTTTTCCCCTGTTATCTTTAAGGTGCACACCAGTTTCGGACTGCTTCTTGACAACGGTTCTGATCACAGTGTCTGAGATTGCAAGAGTATTCATGAAGAATACTTTACATACCCGAGTTTTTTTATTATTTCGAGTCAGATAAAATGCATGATTGTAATTTTTTCGATTGCTACCTTCACGAACGTATCTATATTTTGGTTTTATCTTGGTCATGTGATCGTGAATAAACTGTCGCTGGATTTCCAGATCACCGCACTCCCAGAACTTTTCAAAGATATGTTTTCTTTCTTCAAATGTAAACTCTGTAGAACATTTTAATTTACATTTACCGAAACATACAGGACCCATTTTTTTGGCATCATAAACTTTCTTAGACTTGGACATAGAAGTATAGGACATACCTTTGTTTTTCAATAGCTTGCTCTGGTTTCGTTTCCATAAGAGCGGTTCTGCTTTTCTTTTACGACACCTACTGCGTGATTCAACATCAACACTAGGAGACTGCTCGCCGACGCTAGATGGGTGCTCGTCAACGCTAGGTGGCTGATCATCAACTGTGGGTGATGGTGAATTAATATTAAATAACTGCTGGTTATTAACGGCTGATTGCGGAAAATCTTGAATGCTAGGTAACTGTGTTTGTGGTTGTTGCTCTTCATCGGAATCTGACTGGCCTTTGCGGTTTTCAGAAAATGGATCTTCATACGTAGGATCTTTGACACTATCATCGGAAGAGAAATCTTTTAGGTTATTTGTAGAACTGGAGCTACTTGAAGAACTAGAACTGCTCGACGAGGTAGAAGATTCATCAGAGGAAGAGTCACTGTCTGAGTCTGTTTCTTGGATGACTAAAGATGGTTTATTGAATATTCTGTGCTTTGGAGGCGTTGCTTGAATATCTTCGTTATCTTCATCGGAGTTCAGAATATCTAAAGAAAACTGACTGTCCGGTAGAGAATTAACGTCATCAGTCTCATATTCATGATACATAATATTGTCAGTCTGAATGTCACTTGAATCCATTTCACTAAGTCCGAAGGTTGACGGAGATTGCTGTCCATCTCGAGGATCATTTATAGGTGGTACCATGTTCAAAATACGGTGCGCTCTTGTTGTCATTCTGAAAATAAAAATTAATTTAAGAAAAATAAGTACCTACCTGTATCAACCAATATGCCTCCTTCTCGTAAATAGGCGTTATAATTGTAATTATCTATGTGGGTAAGTAAAATTTAATTGGTTTTAATAGCTCTTCTAAATTAATTTATTTAACCCATAAAATTACTCCAAAAACTACAAAAATATAACACAAACATAAAAACTAAAAATGCTTTTTAATTTAAAATAAAATATATTTAGAGATCACTTTCAAATACAAAGATACCATACTTCGAAATACGTTACTTTAGCATAAAGAAATAGGAAAATAATTATAATTATTTTTTGCAAAACTAACTTGATTCAAAATATGGTAGTATTGCATACAAAAATAAAAGAAAATATCAGATTAATAAATGCAAACCTAACCTATTTCGAAATATGGTACTGTAGCATACAGAAATAAGAAAATAATTCTAATTTTTTTTTGTAAAACTAACTTAATTCAAAATATGGCAGTATTGCATACAAAAATAAGAGAAAATATCAAATTTATAAATGCAAAACTAACCTATTTCGAAATATTGTACTATTGCAAATAAAAATAATAAGATACTTACGTGTATGTGATCTGCAATACCAATATATTTTTGTATGTGGCACTTTTGAATATATAATTTCACCTGTCTTTTAGCAGTTGTTTGGAATGTGGTAGTTTTTCACAAAAAATGCGTGCGCTCGTACCGAATGACTGTTGACAACTGACAATGTGGTACTTTTGCACGGAACTCAGTTACAGAAACGGTACAAAACAAAACTAACGTGTGTGCGTTTACGGGTGTTTTTGATCATAAAACGACGGCTGTTTTAGCAAAACATTAAAATTTCATCGTTTAAGATGCATTTTATGCAAAAACATCATTTTTGATATTTTTTGAAATGTGTGACTTTTGTATTTAAGGAGCGATATATCGGCTCGTCGAGCGGTGTATTTAAGTGATCCCACCTTCATTGTCTGTTATCATTGCGGGGCTTTTTACTCATAAGAATTTAAAATGACTCCAACACTTTCAAATACTTCTACATTAATTTAATAGCTTACAATTCATAAAAAATAAATTATACTTACTTATCATAGAATTGTATTTTAGAGGAGATAGGATTGCTAGCGCACGGCATGTAAAAGCTTTCAAACATCACCACCTACTCATGACTTCACGTCACTTAGGTATAACTCCATCCGGTGCTCAAATTCATTCGTTTCTTCCTCACAATATGTGACACTGGCAGAATGTATTGCGTCTGTTAACGCAACTCTAAACCATTAAAAAAACTCCATCTGGTGTTACCCGCTCCAAAATATAGATAAATAATTTAAATAAGTTCATAATCAAACTTTAATCATTTTTTATAGATTAAAGCTATGTAAGTAACAAATAGGCAGTGGTAGCCCAGTGGTGATGCGCTCGCTTGGGAAATCGAGTGAAGCGGGTTCAAATCCCATTTCCCCATTTTCGAAAGACATGTGAAGTCCATCAACCCGCACTTGGCCAGCGTGGTATGTATTGCCTGATCCCCCTCGTATTGAAGGGAGGCCCGTGCTCAGTATTGACGTTAAAAAAGGGCTGAATACACACATACATACAAGTAACAATAAGTAAATAAACCTGACTATGGCGCGTGCCGTTATATATATTATATAACTTAATTTGCGAGTTAAAAATAAGAATACGATCGTACTTGCATCGATAACATAATGCTTTGTACCCACTCGCAAAGTGCAGTTGTGCGTGCTCATAATATGAAAACTTTTGCCCGGTTCAACGTCAGTAATTTAATAGAGTCGATACAAAGTTTTATACTAAAATTTAATTTTTGTTGCTCCCGATACTTTTGCTATTTTAAAGTTTGTCTCATTTTAATTTTTTGCTGACTTACTTAATAGTTCAATTGTCTAGCACCGTTTTGAAATATTATTATACAAAAGTTATAGTGAGTTTTGCATTTCTTTAATTGCTTAATTTTATTTAGCAAGAGAAAGAAGTATAGCCACAGTCTGACTATATTTGTCTGACAACGGCCAACTGTAGGCAAATATCTAAGAAAATATTAATAATATTCTTTATTTAAGTGAGCAGTGACTCATTATGGTTAGTAAACAATATTTCTTAGAGACTAGGTTAGTTGTATTATTACATATTTTTTTTTAAATAAATTTTATAATACACACGAATCACCGCTGCACCATTCCGTTTGCAACGGCACAGCAACGATTCATGTATATGCAATCCAGTCTATTCGATGTCATGCTCAGAATTCTGTTGGCACTACCCCGTAGCCTACGCATCAGATACCCACATCTTTTTCTCATGAGGGCGTAAAAACAATCAACACGCGCTTCAGCGAACATCCCTGAGGCGCTGCAGTATCGAGGCAGCCCCAACAGCACCCTGAACGCGTTATTGAACGCGGAGATCACTATAAGATTTTTGAGCATATCCTGCCCATAGGCTGCACGTGTAAAAAGATGTACAATATGCTCTAAATAATGTTAATTTAACGTTGGGTGAACTACGTGCAAACCTACGAGCAAGCATATACCTATATATTTTCTAATAAAATTGTTTAAGTTTGAAACGATGTATGTCATTTTAGTAGATTAAAATATAATTCTGTATTTTAATTGCGATATTAAGGTAAAATATGCGGTCCGATGTGCTTACATATATTATTCACACACATAAAATATTTACTGCCGCTTGTAGGAATTACAACGCTTTTAAAATAATGAAAGAATGCGTACTGAAAAATTCTGTTATGGAAGTATGATAAAATGGAAATGTTAATATTAAAAAAAACTCTGTTTGCTTTGTTTTATCAATTTAATCTTTGTAAATGAATTAATGGTTACTCAATATTTATCATTTGAAAAAAAAAATTATCTAAGTACTAGCTTTTGCCCGCGGCGTCAACTTATGTTCCCAATACAAACTTTCATCCCAATTTTCATCCCCTTAAGGGATGATTTTCGGATAAAAATATCCTATGGCCTTCCCAGGGTCTCAAACTATCTTCTTGCCAAATTTCATCTAAATCGGTTCAGTAAATTCAGAGATTACCCCCTACAACTTCACAAACTCACTACCTCACAAACTCACAAACTTTACCTCTTTATAATATTAGTATAGATTACATTTTTTCATTCAATTAATCAATCAGCCTATCGCCGTCCACTGCTGAACAAATGCCTCCCCGAATGAGAGCCAACTATTCAGGTTCTGGGCAACCCGCATCAGTCCACTGCCCGCCATCTTTCTTAGGTTACCTGTCCGTGGTGCTGCATGGCGTCCGACACTACGCTTGCCTAAACGCGGTCTCCACTCTAGCAAGTTTTGGCTTCAAATATTTGAAAAATATTTTTTATTGTATTTGTAGCATTTGCGAAAAATATCATAGGCTATTTATATATTTTGTAAATATTGATACGATTCTAAATGTAATAGCCGTATTAGTGACATCTATTGGTTCCTTACAAAGATACATCGATTCGTTAGCGACTTGAACAAGTTAGTACAATTAAGTTACGTAAGATGGAGCTAAGTATCATTAATAAAGATTTTATAACACTTCGTAAGATCCCTTTAAGTTAGCATGATTATTATAATATTCTATAGAAATAAACATTATAATTTATAAACCAAATTAATGCATTTTACTATCGGAGTATTAGTTTTATAGTAACGTGAATAAGTTGAGCTTTTTAGTGCTATATTTACACCCTTAATGGGTAGGCCGTTCCCCTACAGTGGGGAGCTTTTGAATTTGATGATGATACTTATTTTTATTTACGATGAAATTTAAAATAGTGATGGCAGCCCCTGACTTGGGATTTTTTTTAAGTGTCGGTATTCTCGGGTTTTTTTAACAAAACTCACCCGAAACGGCTTGACCGATTCTTATGAAATTTTGTGTGTATATTCAGTATGTCTGAGAATAGGATGTAAACTACTTTTCATAGTCCTAAGTGAGAATTATGGTCCACCCCAAAAAAAAAAACTTTTATTTTTCGGAGAACATTTGCTATTTTAGTTTTTTTATGATGCGGCATTAAAAATACATACAAACCTAAATTTTCAATAGGGACGAAGAGCTGAGCTTAGGTTTATCGCTAGCATTAAGTAAATAATATTACTTTTATATATAAAATTCCAGTGCACGTGTTTTAATTCTTCTTACTAAACTAATGGCTTGACTGATTTTGATGATTTTTAATGTACTTACATAACAAAGTAACAATCATGCTAATAATTATCCTGGCAATCCTAGGATAGTCGGTAGATAACGATATTGTCGAATTTCTGATTTTTTTTAAATTTTCCGATCAAACTAGGTCTGTGGCAGTACAACATCATGCGATTTTTTTCTAAAATGCGAGATGCTGGATACTTACTATTATTATAGTATTATGTAATCTGTGCTATTACCAAATGTAATCCCGGTATTGTAAGCGAAGGAACAAATTAACAGATACTGAGTATTTATAGAGTTTTTATCTGGTAAGGAAAATAATATTAAAATACTTATTAAGAGTTAATAAAGGGGAGCTCGAAACGCCAGTCTGTTAAGAGATTTATAACAATTCCTATATAAAACAATTTTCATTTTTTATTCGCTTTCGATTTGTCATTCTTGCAGCGCCCTAAAACTTTGAACTTATTTGGGACTCAGTGTACTGCAACAGATGTTTCTGAATGATGAAAAGCTTAAGGCGATTACAAGATTCCCTCCCGGTTCAAGTTTAATATAAAAATAAGAAGATAATGCCCTTTTAAGTGTATGTTCTCCTGGTACTTCAATTCCGAAACTTTGCTCGTTTGTTATGTGGGGGAATGTGTAAGTAAATGTCAATATTTTTTTAAGCCTATGTTTCTATGTTTGAAGATGGCAAGGTATCTGGATAGATACTGTACATGCTTCTGACATGCGATCTTCGATGACAAGATATTTATTTTGCTGTCGAG